AGGATCAGTAAGTATCTTTCAAGAGTAAGTAACTATGAGCCGTAATTAGATATGATCAGTAAGTAGCTGTAATCAGGAAGTATCTATGACCAGTAATTAACTATGATCAGTAATTAAGTATGATCAGTAAGTATCTATGATCAGTAAGTAACTCTGATCAGTAAGCATCTATGACCAGTAAGTAGCTCTGAACAGTAAGTATCTATGACCAGTAAGTAACTTTGAACACTAATAAACAATGACTTGCAACTTTTGTAACAACACATATCTGATACTGGGTTGGCAGCAGTCACTTCGTTCCGGGGATGTGTGAACAAGTTGGGAATCATATGCACACATGTGTGAGATTTGTTTTGGAGCAAATTTAAGCTATTTGAATGAAACCATAGAGTTATTCTTCTATAAAATTTTACTGTATATAAGCGAATCGGTGGACTATATACATATATACATATATGCCATAGGAACTATCGGAATATTTTAAGAAAAAAAAATATATGTATATATATTAGATTAATTTGTTATTAAGATTTAACTAACAATACAATGAAGAATACATTCTACATCCATGCAGCTTATTATTTGTACAAATTTGGTATTGTTTTTAACCGGAACCGGAAGTGCCAGTATGTGGTCGAGTTAAGAGATTATTAATGATCGTTTGCTATCGCTATTTAAATGGAATATTGTGCTTATTTATAACTGCTTACTTGTACATTTGTTTATTTATTATTTATTAATTTTTTTCATTAAGTTAATTAATGATTTATTGATTTATTTGTTTATTTTTTTCATATCAATTCAAAAATCATACGAAATGTTAGCTGACAAAGAATGTATATAGCTTTAGAAAAGGGAAAAAGAGAAGGCTAATTAATTAATAATTATGATAATGATCTCTTAACTTAATACCCCATTAACTTAGTCTTATTTTTCTCAGTGCATATTTGTAATAGTATGCGTGCATTTATAATAGCAGTTATACTTATGAACTAGAAAGAGAAAACGTTGAACTTACAAAATAAAAAAAAAAAAAACGGGGGAAGAACCGAAAAAGGCAGCAAAAATTGTGTCCATTCTGAAATCCGCCACAGGCGCGGTGCACACAGGGCAAAGTGGTTAAAAGGAAAAGGGACAGGAGCAGGGGGGAGGGGCAGGAAAAGTGGCTGGAAAAGCGGGCGGATAAGCGGAACGACATGTGCCAGGCAGTGTATAAAGTGAAGACATTTCTGTAAAACTACCAAATGTATTTATAAAGCACCGAAAACAAATGGCGAAGTTAAGCGAAATGCATCAAGTATTAAACATTAAGGAGATATTTGTTATAAATTTGAGTATATAATTATGTTATATTTAGTTAAATAAATCATAAATATATAGAAAGAAAAGTTTCGAGAGCTGCTATCTTCATATAATGGCACATTTCTGAAGGGACCACATATAATAAACAATTTAATTGATACAGCAAAACATTACATTTAATTTAAATAATATAAAAATATTATTAAATTGGTTATTTTATTATACAAACTTTTATGGGAATTTAAAATGAAGTCTAGTAAATGTTATAAGTACAAACATTGAATCCTAAGGCTCAGTATAATAAAAATTTTTAAACTACACCACTTTAGTAATAGTATTTCCAAAATATACATAATTAATTAAAATTAATTAAACCATAAACATACATACAGTGTTTGTTGATAATCCAAAATATTCAGTGCATTGTAGTAAAGTCCTGGAAAAACTCCTTGAAATATGCAACAGCCGTCCTTCCTACAGGATGGAAATAACTTGATGCGAACTCATGTAGACACTGCTAATGCGCATTGTATGCGATAAGTTCTGCCTTCCTTCCTTGGGGACTCCAAGGACGACATCCGGACATCTTCATCGTCGTCAAACTGTGAGCCAAAAGCCTTACAATTGATGGTTTTTAAATATATGTATATATTTTATTTTACAAAATATAACCTTTGCCAAGTGTAGAAGATGATCCGGTTTCCGATAAAGTAGAAGAAATTAAATTTTAATAATTTATTGGCAGTTGGTCAAGTCTTATACTCGCTCCACTGTGCACATCATCGCTGAAGTTTTGCATCCGCCAGTTAGTCACTCCACATGCTGACCCTTGGCCCCTTGGTTCTATATCCTAACACCAGCTTTGCTGTATCCTGGCCCAGTCTCCAGTCTAGTTTGTCGCACGACCAACACAAATTACCATCGTTGAGCTGAAGGACCACTAACAACCAGACGGAGATGGGAGCTGAAGATGTGCGAGATCCCAGGCACATGGAGAAGGAAAAATGGGGGGTTTTTCAGGGGGGAGAAGGATGCAGATGGGGTTGGTTATGGCGAGACAATGTCCGCTTTGAGTTAGAGAGTGATGATGAAAAACTGGTTCACTTGATGCTTGTCCTCGGACCGTTGCAGGAGCTGAATCGCTGATGCTGCTCAGGCTCCTTCTCTGGCTGGTAGTCCTGCTGCTGTTCCTTCTCCTGCTCCTGCTCCCTTTCCCACTCTCCCGCTCCTTCTGCTTTTCCCACTCTCCTGCTCCTGCTCCTTTTCCCACTCCCATCTCCTGCTCCCTTTCCCACTCTCCCGCTCCTGCTCCCTTTCCCACTCTCCTGCTCCTGCTCCCTTTCCCACTCTCCCGCTTCTGCTCCCTTTCCCACTCTCCTGCTCTTGCTCCTTTTCCCACTCTCCCGCTCCTGTTCCTGCTCCTTTTCCTGCTCCTTCTCCTGCATCTGCTCCTCCTCCTTTACCCACTTCCGCCTCCTGCTCGTGCTCCACTGCTCCGTTTAAATAATTCACCGAGACGAAACGCTGGACTCCGGCATGCATATCGAGTTTGTCCAGCCGGACGCGCTCACATACATATGTAATTCAAGGAGTTATCACTGACACGAGGTCACAGAAGGCCTGAAGCCTGGACACTGGCAAAACGTTGTATTCAGATAATCCAAAAGGATCCAAAGGCTGTCACAAATACAGAGCTACTTTTAAAACTTGTTTTCAAATGCTACAATTAATACATACTACAAAGGCATGAGAGTCCTTGAATCCTTCCTTAAAAAACCCATGGATAGTCTGCTACTTGATCTTGACCTAGAACCCATGGTTTCATCATAAGTTTTTGGAACAGTGTATGTGTATCTGTGGAATGCAGTTTAGTATGCATGCTGCAATTTCTATATGGCCATGACGCTGCAATTGCTTGCTTGTGCTTCTTGTGTGCATATATTTTCACCATGCTTCGTCCTTCGCCTCATCCTTTTTGCGCATATTTCTACGGTAATTTTTTATGGCTGCGAGCTGGGTTCGCCGGGTTTGCTGGATTTGCTGGGAGCAACATGTTGGTCATTTGCTGCATACGTAATTCTGGCAGCAAATCACTTGATGGGCGCTGAAATGATGCCAATTTAGTTGTGGGTGCATGTCATGTCAGCCAACTGACATTAGCGAACGGAGCAACCACTTTAAGCCGCAAAATAACTGCCTTGGTCTTTGGTTTAAAGGTTGAAGAACTTCCTGTACATATAAAATGATAAAAAGTTATTATTAGAAAGCTTTTAAATATTTTGTAAGCAAAACTATAGCTTAAAGGTTGAAGAACTTCCTGTAAATCTAAAATGATAAAAAGTTATTATTAGAAAAATTTTAAATATTTTTTAAACAAGAATATAGCGGACCTCAAAACGTAATCAGTGCCTTAACCTTTGGTTTAAATGTTGAACAACTTCCTGTAAATATAAAATGATAAAAAGTTATTATTAGAAAATTTTGAAATATTTTTTAAACAAAAATATAGCTGTCCATAAGCCGTAATAACTGTCTAGGTCTTTGGTTTAAAGGTTGAACAACTTTCTTAAATATAAAATGATACAAATTTGTTATTAGAAAGCTTTTAAATATTTTGTAAGCAAAACTATAGCTTAAAGGTTGGAAATTTCCTGTATATCTAAAATGATAAAAAGTTATTATTAGAAAATTTTGAAATATTTTTTTAACAAAAATATGTCCTTAAGCCGTAATAACTGCCTTGGTCTTTGGTTTAAATATTGAACAACTTCCTGTAAATCTTAAATGTTAAAAAATTACTATTAGAACATTTTAAATATTTTTTAAACAAAAACATAGCGTACAGTCGCTTTAAGCCGCTAAAATAATGCCTTAGTCTGTGGGTTGAATGTTTCAGTTTACGGTCCTATAAATCTAAAATAATAAAAATTTTAGTACAACATATTTGCTAAAACATATTTTATACAAATACTTACAAATACTTTTTTTGAAGATAAAGGGAGCTCTTTTATGTGCAATTTCGCTGTGAAACTCTAAGATTGATCTAATTATTATGTGAAATATCTATATAGTTATATTAAAACTTACCCTAATTTATGGACACTGTATAAATAGTAAGGAATTATAAATAGTTAAAAAATTATAGTTTGTATGACAATCTTAGATGAAAAAAAATTGGCAAATATAATTTAAGTTCCACTCGTAAGTAAACTCTATAATAAAGCTTGGATTTCCTTTTAAATTTCTCATTTGAATCTTTAATTGTCTCACTCTAATTTTTAAATTCTTTTAAATTTATTAAAATAAATGTTATATTTTTTATCAAACATGATCATTGAGTTTTTTTTTTTTTTAATATTGATAACAACAAACATTAATGGTTTCCTATTGATTTCTTTTTAACATCAATAACTGCAAACATTTATGGTTTTCCCACATCTAGCTAGTATTTCAAGACTTCTTTAAGGCATTAAGTTAAGTTAAAATAAAAAAATATATAATATTTATCAAGTCTGCATTAAAAATCAAAGTATTTAAAAAACAAGAAATGAGAATGTAGGCTAACTTTGCCTAAACTTCCTGAACATCCCGTTACTATACATATAATTTGCAAAAAAAAAACTATAGTTTCATTAACTTTAATTTAAATTTAAATATTTATGTTTATTTAAAAAATATATAAATTTGTACTGATGGAATTGTGCAACATTCTTAATAAACATAAATAAGTATCATGATATTTCATATACATGAAAGTGTGACTTCTTCTGTTTCTTTTTCCAGTGACTTCGTCTTAGTTGAGGGTGTGCCTCGCCCAAAAGGATGCCGTTTTTGAATTTCTGGAGATCAACCGGTGGTAAATTGGATATGCGTTTAAGCTCCGCGCTCATCCCGAGCTTCCCCATGAGATCCATCATTTTGGTCTTCATCTGTGGATCCATCATAGTCGCCAAGTCCCATACGATGTTTATCATAAGCCGCCTTCCTCTGTTGCTTGCGCACTTCGATCTTCAATTTGCTCGATTTTTTTATAGGTTCGGCCTCATCATCAACGGATAGAAAACTCAAGTTGATAGGGCTAAGTGGATGTGCAGAATTTGGCGATGATGATTTTAGAGCACTTATTTCTTGTATCATCTTTTGAGCCTTCTCCTCCAGATTACATTGTTTTTCCTCGAGGTTACGCTTGTCCTCGAGAAGACTGTAAATTGTCCTGGCCATGCGTTCCTTCTCCGATAGCATATCCGCCACCTTCGATTTCTAAATACACACATACACGCAAAATTGAACATTTAAGGAAATTAACAAAAAAAAAATGTATATAAAATATTACCATAGATTTTTCCAGCTTTTCGTTCTGCTCCTTGAGTTTCTGGCATTCATTGTACGCTGTTTCAGCAACCATTTTCTGATTAGTTAAGGCATCTTGCATAGATGCAAAATCCTTCTCGTTGCCCTTAAGCTGCGCTATGAGTTCAGCCTTACGTTTATTATCCTGATACAAGGATTTGATCTCTTCAGCCTGCGACTCTGTCTCCTTCGTCAAAGAGGATATATTCAAGTTTAGGAGATTCTTCTCCCTTTCAATTCCCACAGTTTTAGCATCCTATAATGAAGAATTAATTAAATCAATAGTTAAAATGAAAGTGTAAATTAAATTTGCTTTATTTACCAGTTGGTTGCACTCATTGATTAGATCATCGATTTCTTTGCGATCAGATGCCGCATCCTGGCTCATCTTCATCAATTTCTGATTGTTTTCCAATTCTTGATCCATTAGCTGCTGCTCCAATTGAATTATGTTCTCCTGCTGTTCAGATAGTTGAATTTGCAGATTGGTGGTGGCCACATGCTCAGCTTCCGCCTGGTTCTTTAACTTCAGCTTAAGCGAATTATTCGACGTTTTTTGTGCCCTAATTTTATCTTTTAACGTGTTTATAAATTCATTGAAATCGGCAATTTTCTCTTCGTGCTGTATTTCCTTTTCACACATCTTATCCTCCGCAGCCTCTAGCTTCGCTGTCACATTTGAAAGTTCCCCATTTGCAGTATCATTTGCATCCAGGACATGCTTCAAATCCGAACGAAGTTTTTGTATTTCCTCGTCGCGATTCGATGTTTCCTCTTGCGAATCCTTCAGTTGAGACTCCAGGGTGATCACCCTTTCCTGCACAGTGATAAACTCTTTATTTACCTCCGAAAAGGATAACTTTAGCTCTTCATGGCTATCAGACTTCTTAGCAGTTTCTTGCAGCTCCTGTACTATGATTTCGAGACTTGACTTTTGCTCAACCAAAGTATTTAAATATGTACGCATCAGATCATATTCTCGCTGGAGACTTTCGTTCTGCTCCTTCATCATTTCAAGATCATCTTCGGCTTTTTGTATTTGTTCCTGTAACTCTGCCCGCATTTGTTCCATTTCCTCCGAGTGAGCAATTTGCATCCGGTTCATGTTCTCCTCTGCCTGAAGAAGATTCTCTCTGAAGGCGTTTTGGTGTTTCGCGATCTCTTCGTCCACTCTACGTTGATTTAACAAAGTAAAGGCATCCTTAAAGCGTAAAAGCTCATCCTTAAAACAAGACGTGACCGTTGAGAGTTCAGTTGCGGAACGCAATAGTTTTTTCCTGGTATCCTCCAATTCCAGCTTATGTGCTTGGAATTTTTTAGGCTTCTCATTCTTCATCGCCTCAATGATTCCCGTATACTTTAGTTCCAGGGCAATAATCTCATCACTATGCATCTTCACTTTCGATTCTAATTCTTTTTCGATTTGTTCTACGTACTCAGTTGGTGGAATTGTCTGCATCTGTTTCGGATAATCTTCGTATAGGGAACTAAAGCCAGTTCGCACATGTAAATCCAGGTCATGAATAAATTTTGTTAACTTGTCAAACTCTTCAAAGATATCCTTTTGAGAGCCCGGCTTTGAGGTATTCACGGCTTTCTCCTCGAAAGATTGACTTGGCTGTTGCGAGGTCACCTGAGATACACGAGTTGGTAGATCCCTTTGAGGGGCGATATCCATATAAAATTCCTGCAACTCCGGCATCTTAGATGGACGAGGCAGACGACTGAATTCTGGAATGATGGCCTTGGAAATCTCGGGCTCAGCATCGGTCCCGGACATCGTGACCGGACAGGAGCCGCAGCGGCGCATTATTTGAAACGGCTGACATGTGACATCCCCAAGCTCATCGTCATAAATCTCGGTATCGTGACGCTGTATCATCAAGGGATCGATAGTGTTTACCTGCGGATGTACCCGGATCATCTTGGCCAGCATCACAATCTTCATTGTCGATTGTGATTCCACAATGCTCGATGCTTTAATAGTTCCAATAATCGAGATGTAGGCGTTGCCGCATAGCGATGCCTGCAGAAATCGCGTTAGCTTACATTCCCCGAAATTGATATTCGTTTCGGGATAATTGAATGACAACTTCTTAATGACATTGCTCAAACACATCAAGCTTTTGTCGATATATACCCCACCAGTGGCTCGGGATGCAATCGGGGAATCCCCACTTAAACGCTCAGTTCCAGACAAGTCCACAAAATCGAGAACACTCTGAAGGTAAGTGTTGCTAAGGTCACACTTCCACTCGGTGATGACACGAAGAATGGCATGTGAATTGCCGTTACGCAACATATTACCCTGGCAGACAAGTTCCATAAGCTCGTTCTCGTTGGATATTATGAAATCCTCACAATTGACCCAAACCATACCATTGTGACCCTCAATTATCTCGAGATCTTGATTTTTCTCGTTAAACAAATCATTTACCTTCTCATTGAATATTTCGAAATAACTTGCATGCACCACAATGTCGTAATCGGCTGTTAAAGAGATTTGCTGGAAAAGCTCTCTAACAGCCATTTCCATAATTCCACAGTTCTTCGCATCACCCATCATCGTATAAGTTTTCCCTAAGAATATCATTAATCAGCGTCTCAAGCAAGTGAAAGAAAAAAAAAATTATGGACTTACCCGACAATTTCTGGCCGTATGTGAAAATCGTGCCATTGATGCCGTGCACGCATGCGCGCAGTATATGCTTGCACATGCGGTTGAAAACTTCGAGGTTACCGGCTCCCTCATCGAACACAGAGTCTATGGGGACAGGACAGGACAGGTTTTCTATGACTACGAAAAAAAAAAGAAAGCGAAAAGTGCTACATCACTTACCAAATGTGTTGCGATCCCCAGTGCTGTCCACCAGTTGGATGGAGCGGCCTTTAACCACCCACGCGGGTGAAAGGCCGGCCTCGACGGGGCGCACACGAATGCACACCTGCATCGAAGCCATTTTCTTTTTTTTTGCTCCCGAAAACTTAGAACTTTCCGGAATACACACTCGCCTCAGACACGTGAAAATTTTTGTGACCAATTCGAATGACATCCAGTGACAACGAAAGATTTATTAATCATCGATAACTATGTTTCATAAATCTAAAAATTTATCGTATTATTGCGTGAAATTGAAACAACTCGGAATGGATCGGAAGTTGGAATATTAATTATGTAACGCGCTAAATGGCGTCACCGACCAACGTCTGATAATTTGAGTATTTTATATGTCTCTTGTGAATTAAATCTCATATATTTGATCGTATAATATAGCATTTATTAAATCAAGCTTTTCTTGCTGGTTAGAAAAGCGCTTCATGTGAGCAATGTTGTTATTTTTAAAATTGATCACCGTCTAAAATTGATATAAAACTGCGTTTAAAATTATTTATTATAATTTTAGTCAGAAGTTTGCAACGCAATGATAGATACATTTCCGACTATATAAAATATATATATTCTTGATCATTATCGGACGAGTCGATCTAGCCATGTCCGTCTGTCCATCTGTCCGTCTGTCCGTTTCTACGCAAACTAGTCTCTCAGGTTTTAAGCTTTCTAAATTAAACTTTGTGGTTAGTCTTCTGTATATGCTCACTTGTATATATGTCGGAACGGGACGGATCGGGCGACTATATCATATAACTGCCATAGGAACGACGAACAAATTCATAAAATTAAAAACTATAACTTTTTCAGTTTTCAACCGATTTTTATCAAATTTAAGGTCAATCCGTTTTATGTCATTTCACAATTTTGTGTTAAATTTTTTGAAAATCGGACAACTATATCATATAGCTGCCATAGGAACGATCAAGAAATTAATACAATAAAAATTATAACTTTTTCAGTTTCCAAAGGATTTTCTTAAGACTTTAGATATAGCCCTTTTATATTATTATAGAATTTGGTTTTTAATTTTATGAAAATCGAATGACTATATCATATAGCTCCCGTAGAAATGATAGGTAGATTTAGAGGAAAACGCAAAACTGTGAATGTAAAACTGTAACTGTAAAACTGTAAATATATTTTTGGCATAAATATATGTATAATTTATATTGTATTAATTCCTAGTGATTAAACTGCAACCTGCTAGGGTATAAAACGTTAGCTTTTTGATCGGTCAACTCTTTATTTTTTATTTTTTACAATATTTCATCATCTCAATAATCAAGGGAATTTTAAAATCACAAAGTTATTCTTCCTGATTTTAATCTTGGATTTTTGTATACATCATTTTGACGCTTAAAAATAAACTTAAATATGATGTTAACACTTGGCTTTTAGTGGATATTTTCATTATCGAAAAAGCTATTTGCATGGAAACAGCTGTTTTCAGCGGCCATTTTTGCAGAAGTACAGTTATGTAGGGATTCCCCAAATATGCGAAATTTGAATTTTTTTTTCAACAAATAAATCGCCAAAGAGATAGCTATTTTCTGTCATGAGATTCATCCCTGGACTTAACCGTGGTGAATTTCCGTTTTCAATACACAGCTGACGGCAATTCACCACGCACCAAAAATCGTAGATAGTTTTGTGTTTATTTTTTTAGCAAAGAAAATGGAAAATGCTGTGAGTCTTAAAGCCTAATCGGAGTATATATTATATACATAAACACATATTGAATAATTATATGCAGGCCTCCACATCGAGCAGCGGAAATACAGAGGAGCAGCGACGCATTTGGGTAGGAAATCTGGACTCTCGCATCACCGAGTAAGTTGATTGCAGCGGCTGCTTTTATAATCGGTGCTAATTATTTCCTTTGCATATTGCCTCCTATCGGTTCCAACTCCTCAAACTGATGCAAAAATGCGGTGCCATCGAGAAGTTCGACATGCTGTTCCACAAGGGCGGCCCCATGGTTGGCCAGTCGCGTGGCTACGCCTTTGTCACATTCGCTCAGGTGAGCTCTCCCAGTCTTTGCAGCTGCTTCAGTTTCTTAATCCGAATTCTTGCTTAATCCCTTCCAGAACGAGGGCGCCACTAATGCCCTGCTGAAGCTAGACGGCACCAGTGTAGGCAATCGCTCCATAGCTGTTCGCCTGGCTAAAAATATCAAATATGTAAGTTGCTCTCTAGCCAATTGGTTTTCTTATCAAATTAATACCTGGTTTATTCTCCTCCAGGATGACCTGCAGAAGCCCAAGCCGCGCATTGAGATCCCTGCTTTGGGCAGCGGCAAGCGTGAGGAGAAGATCAGCAAGTCGGAGGCCATAAGAGCCATTGAGGCCAAATTAAAAGTACTCGAACGGCAGACAGATGACAATCTCGAGCTGAATACCATGGGCAGAGGTGAGGCGAATGTGCCCTTCATCCAGCGCTATCAGTTCAACAAGGATCGGGATGGAACGCAGCGCTATGGCAAATCCTCCTCAGCCCCATATCATCGACAGCAACGACCCAAGCGTCGCTAGAACCTAAGCATCCGCCTCCACAACCATATAGTCTGTAAAAATAAAATCTTTAGTAATCTTAGGGCGCTACCTCAGCAGACGAGCCTCCTTGCAGGTGTAATTTACAATTTATTTATTAAAAAAAATGACGCAAAAATATAAACCTATGTCTACTTGGGGGCAAACTTGATCTTGCCGCGCATGTGATCAGGCAGCGGAACAGTGCCTGGGCATGGCACCTGGCCGGGAATCTCGCAGATGCAATGCCTGCCGCAGCCGTAGCCAAAATTGGCCGGATTGTCCTTACTCTCCTTCAGACGCGTCTCAGCATTCAGTTGCTCCCTGGAAAAGTACCAAGCAAAATTAATTAGATACAGGTTTATAAATAAACTCTATGGATTAGGTGCCTACCGCGTCTTGCCCACCACCTGGATGAGGTGCTCGATAATGTCATCTCTGTTACGGCTGTCCACATCGATTAGCATGTCCCGGCCGTCCTCAAAGTAGCAGCGTACAAACGGCGACGGTGTCATATTCTTTAGTGTGAGCACCTGCACATCCGGGTTCTTGAACTGCACTTGCGGTATGTTCCAGAAGACAAAGTCCCTGTCAAGCACATTTTAAAAATAATTATAGTGTAAAGTTAAATAGAAAAGTAATCCAAATAAAACATACCGGGCTCCCGCATGATGGTCGCCGTAGGTGTTGTAGTTGACGCTAAAGATGCGCACGTTGTCCTTCAGCACCAGCTTGCCCGCATTCAGGTACTTCAAAGTGCGCCGAATGGGCTCGCGTCCTTTCATAAACGGCATGGTTGTGTTTTAATTGATATATTAACTAATATTTTAGGGAAAACAAACGATTTAGTGCGGCTGCTTGTGTAACGGGGCCAGCTGATGGGCCAGTGTGACCGCATCAAGCGGTGCAAGAGCATGAAAACAAACCGTGGTGACAGCAGCTAGCCAAAAATAGCTATATTTTGATTAGCGGTTTATGACGTTTTCTCTTCTTCATATTTATAATTGCGTTTAGTTTAGCTTTTAGTTCTGCTTATTTTACTTTCTTAATTATATTGATGTATTTTTCCAATTGTAATAACACATTTTTCACAACCAGTTTGGTGATTGCTGCTCCCAGCCGGTTTGTCATTTTTTCCATTAGCTAACTGTGGTCACACTGCTCCGCTCGGGCAACTTTTGCAAATAATTAAATTCAATTTTTGGCAACATTTTATTGTTTCGCTGAATGATGACTGAAATAACACTTGCTCTGATTAAACCGCACGTGCTGCGTAACACCTATGCAATGCAGCAGATTCTGGCACTGATCGGACAACACTTTACCGTGCTCGGCCAGAAGGAGGTTCACATTACGAAAGAGCTGTCCCAGCGATTCTATGCGGAGCACCAGAATAAATTCTTCTATCATCGCCTCACCAGCTTCATGAATAGGTAATAAACATATTATTTAGTTTCTTAAGATATAGATGGATAATATATGTATATAATTTCAGTGGTCCCTGCTATGCCTTGATTCTACAGTCGGAGGCCAGTATACAAAAGTGGCGCAATTTGCTGGGCCCAACGAAGGTCTTTCGTGCTGTTTACAGCGATCCCAACTGTATCCGGGCATTATACGGACTGTCCGATACCCGTAATGCCTGTCATGGATCGGATAGCGAAGCCTCAGCCCGCCGGGAGATTAGCATACTGTTTCCAGAGTTCAAAGACGCTCTTTTGGAAGCACAAGAACCCAAACAGGAGACGACAACGACAACGTAGCCCAAGGACAAGGCCTCAAAGCATTTGTTATTGCATAAATATTGCTTGTGAATACTCCAGGTTGAGCCTGGAAGTGCTTGTGCCTTAAGGACTTTGGATCTCGCTAAGATGAAGGTATTGCCAGGACATTTCCGAATCGCCACAGTCTCTTGTTAATTGTTATTGTTCCAGCACTCGTTAAAATTGTATGTATAGTTTTGTTTTATAAGTAAATGTAGATATTTAACTTTAAATAAGCCTTTAATTAGAAATATTAATAATCTAAGCATTATTTAAGTAACATGAAAATTGCAAAATTATAGAAATATGAGCCTGACATTAGATTAGTTGACCAATGTTAATGTGCGTTTTAAAAATGCATTAAAATACTTGTAAAGAAATCGTAATCAAAATAAATAAAACAAAAACATATTTTTAAGCCACAAAATTTGTATTCTATATTCATTAGACATTATTGTGTTTCAAAAACTTTATTTCTTCAATTTTTGTTTACATAATACAATTTCTTTACTCATTAGGTGGTAGGTACATGTATAGATAGAGATTTTCGATTTGTTTCTGGTTAACTCCGTTTAACTCATTTTAAATAGTTGGGAATACAAATTTATAAACTTAACAAATTATATAAATATATATGTGTAAGTTCTGTGCTATCCCTAGATAAGGGTACAGGTATATGTATTTAAGTATCTATATGTTTTTTTTTTTCTTTGTTCTATTTATTTTTTGTATATCGGTTCAGACCCTTTCAGCTTATTTCTGTCATGTCTTGGTGAATCCGTGATTGAGCTTATACAAAGCCTTTTTGTAATTTTGCTGGCTTTAAGGAACAAAATTAGGACAAAAAAAAAACGGTTATCGGGGGAAGAATGAAAGGATATATGTTTGGGCTTTAGGTATGCTGCTCAAAGACAGCAAAAATTGGAAACATAAACTGAATTATGGCTACAAATTTATACATTTTTCGGTTTAGAGCGAGGTGGCATCAGCATCTACTGTCTTTTTCTAACTCGCGTCAATGAGAATAAAAAGCAAATATATTGAATTGAAAAGAGATATAAAAACCAAAAACAATCCTATTTATGTATGTCTCTGCTATTTTAATAGTAATAATAATTGTAATAATAATAATAATTATAATAATAAAAGTGGCAACGATTTGTCAAAGCTCCCTATAGACGATGCAAAAAAAATGTATTTATTTAACAAGTATTCTTAGTAGTATTTTTGTTTGCTCTTTGCCTTTGTTTTTCATTTTTCTTTAGTAGACTTTTTTCTATTTTTTGTTTGCATTTTTCTCAGTGTTTTGTTTGTTTTTTTACTTTTTGGTATCAATTACAAATCTTTAGTTGCAGTCCTACAAAATTTTAACAGGCGGCGTCTTTGGCGCATCAAAAGTTCGAAACATTCAGTTTGGGGTTTTAAGTTTTAAGTTTTCTTTTCTTTTTTTTCATTTTTTCTTTTCTTAAGTTTTGGCCTTTGTCCTCATTTTTATTTTTATTTTTGTATTTAATCCCCATTAGCCCCGCTTGTTGCTATATAAATATTGCTATTCCAACCGATCTCTAGATCGCTAAACACGTATATATATGCATAATGCGGGGTAAATATATAAAAAGCAAAACGGGAGAATCAACTTTGGGGAGATAAAAACCGAAAAGCTCTTCTGCCGGCGAGTATTGTTGTCGGTGTGTAGTTTTTTTTCTTAATTTTTAGGTGGGTACTGTACGGATTGGTCAAAGACAATATAAAGCAAAAGATGCATTACGCCATGTGAATTTTGACAAAGAGCTTTATATTGCCTACCGATTGGGTGGTATCTTCGATTTGTACCTCCTATAGCCCCCCCCAAAAAACACTTTGGCGTTTTGAAATCTCTCATGAAATCTCTTAAGCCATACGCCATTTCCATTTTTTCCTTCGGTTTCCCCATGGATATTTCTTTACATACATAAAATCAATAGGGACTTAAAACTGCTTAAGGGTGTGTATGGTTGTGTATTGTTTTGTCATTTGTTTTTGTTTTTTTTGTGTTTTTTGTTTTGTATCTTTAAGTACTAGAACATAAAAATATATGTATGTATTTATGTATATATAGATTTGTTTTTGGTTTGTAAATACATACGTACGTATCAACTATGCAACTTGGCCTATACGCGCTACATACAATTATTAAAGATATACACATATATCCATACTAAATAGTATCCTGTATACGCAAATATATAATCTTTGAATGTAACCAGCTCATAGCAAAAAAGACTATTTCGAATAGTTTCCGTTTTGTCAACGACAACGTCATAGGTTGCTCTTATAATTCCACGACAGCTTCACATCATCTCACACTATACCCAGTCATCTGTCTATGCTTTCTTCACTCCTAATATATCCTTGTATAGTAAATAAGCGAATGTATATATATATTTGCTTCATTCCCTCTGCTGAGGTCCGGTGAGGTCCTCAGTACCAGGCCCAGTCCCACCTCAACCATGTGGCTTTCACTCGAACATGGCCATCGATGAGGTGGGCACCACCTCCAGCAGCAGCTGGAAGAACAGGGTCACCTTGTCTGCAATGTGAGGAAAATGATTCAATTAGTATCAAATTAATTATAATTATTAAGTAGGGACTTACTCATAAACCTCGGTGTCATGCCCAGCTTTACAAAGGGCACATAGAAAATGAGGCCTGCAAAGATGAAGAGCAGGGCATAGAGATACTCAATGCGAGGCGTCTCAAATATCGGGGCTGCCACAAGATAGATGGATATGACCAAGACCACAACGGGAATGATAATCGGCACTTTGTACGGCCGTGGATAGTTGGGTTTGGTGTAGCGCATCACGATCAGAGCCAGCATGGCGCCACCATAGAATATCCAGGCGGTGAAGCTGAAGAAATCAATCAGCGAATCAATTGTGCCATGGAGCACCATTGCCGAGGCAATCAGCGACTGCCACAGAGAAAGATATACATATATATAGAGAGAGAGAGAGAGAGGGGAGAGAGGAGGTTGAAAGGAGGTTAAATAGGGTATTCGAAGCACTAAGGATGGTCTTTTTAGAATATTTATTTTAATTTCTATAAATTTATTATGTACAATATGTGGAAAGTACTTTTGAATATCAAGTCTACATAAAGTGAAATCAATTAAGAAACAAAATGTAATGTAAAGAATAAGATGCATAACTCTAAGCGATTGTATATGCTAGAATTTTTGGCTTTGGCTTCAAGATTTTCTAATATGTTTTTGAAAACTCACACAAAAAAAAGAGAGAAGAAGATCTATAGCCTGACATTGTATCTCTATCTAATCTAGATCTTCCTCTCTGTATACATTTAAGAGGGTTCTGTAAATACTCCTATAAGGAAGCCTATGCTATACTTAGTCCTTAAAATCTCAAAATTTGAGCAAGAAAGAGAAATCTAAGCCGCTACTTATCTTATTTCTTAGAATGCCTTTGCCTATATATCTTTTCTAGATCAATTAATATATTTATACAAGATTATTTAAGGAATCATTTGAATATATAATGGAATGTAATCCTTAACTGAAATTATTTTAGTATTAAGAAGTTTATACATAAATGTATCAGTGTACATAAAAGGGATAATTGTTTAATAATGATTAAATGCAAATTTACTAATTTCTTCTATGATTTCTTACAGAAAACTATGCAGATGATAGTCCTATGAAAATATTCTTAGATACTTACGTGGAATATCAGGCCTGGGGCAGGTGTGAGGCGTCGCACATGGACATAGGAGAGTATATCCAACAGATGACCCTCTCGACTGGCCGCAAAGCACAGACTACAAAGAGAAATAATATAATTAATAAGAATCTAGATAATACACATTATTCTATAATATATTCCCCTACCGTCCAGCTGCAAATAGTGTGCCATTGGCACTGCCAAAGGTGCTAATGGTGACACTGAGTGGCATCAGCCAGGCAAGTGCTCCTAATATGCGATTACCAAAGGTAACAGCCACTGCCTCCGATTCGATCATTTCCTGCGGCGACATGGCCGCCAGATAGGAGATATTAATCAGAGCATAGCAGAGTGTCACCAGCGGTATACCGATAATAATCGAACGCGGTAGATTCTTGCTGGGATTCTTGATCTCCTCGGTGACATAGTTGAGATTATTCCAGCCATCGTAGGCCCACAGACCCGTATAGAAGGCCGTGGCAATTGCACCCACATTTGGCATTGGGCCATTAAATGCATTCGACAAATGCTGTGTATTGCCCTGCATTAGCTTATAGGCACCGCCACAGATTACGATCACAACGGCCACCAATTTGGCGGCAGTGAATATATTCTGCACGGCCATACCCAGATTAACGCTGTAGCAGTTCACGAACAGAATCATCACTGTAATGGAGATACAATTGAGAGTTAAATAGAGCTATAAGATAGGGAAAGCTATAAATACTCACCAATTGCCACCAGGGCGACCATCTTGACCACACCCCTGGGCGGATCACATTCAGTCACAAAGGCCTCAACGGCATACTGTGCAAATGATAAGCATATTATAGCCATTTGAGATGGCTTCAACACCAATGTCGATACCCATGAGAACAGAAACGCCGGCGCCGGTCCATAGGCATCCATAAAGTACGCCCACTCCGCCCCCGATGATGTGTTCATCGTGCCAAGTTCAGCGTAAGCCAGAGCGCCTACGCAATAAATGGAAAACCAAGGGAAAATTAGAACAAATGGCAAGTGTATCATGCTTAAAAAAAAAAAATAAATAAAAGAAAAGAGCCCAGCCTAGAGGTCACTTAAACGACCTACGCAAAATTGCTTACAAATTCAATTTGGCCCTCAACTTAGGGTTCAATTTTCAAGTGTTTCTTTGGAAAAGTTTAATGTCAAAATATGTATAAATAAAGGTTAAATATTTGTTTATGTATTTAAAGGTTACTTAAGTACTTATATTTCAAATGATGTATTTTATTTTTCAGTTTTACAATTCTCTTAAAAGTTCAAAGGAAAAAATTAATTGGTTTCAAATTTTTACCAAAAAATGTCATTATAAACAGTGACTTCTTCTTACATCTTTGAATTTATGTTACGACCAAAATATAGAAAATTGAATTGTAACCTTAAATTTTATTAAATTTAAGTATTATAGAAGTTTTTATATATTGAATTTAAATTATATTTCATTTAATTAATACAGATTTATAAATCTATTCTTATACCCTTTTCGGGTATTATAATTTTAGTCAGAAGCTTGTAATGCCATGAAGGAATCATTTCCGACACTATAAATCATATATATTCTTGATCAGCATCAACAGACGAATCGATCTAACCATTTTAGAAAGAAAAATTTTTTTTTAATTTTTTCAAAATTTTATAAGGGGTTTCATCATTAAAATTGTCAAAAATTTTGAACAAAATTTTAATTTTTCGAAATGCAAAAAATGAGTATACAGATTTGTTAATCTAATAAAAACTAACATAGAACCTTTTCCCAAATTAAAATTAATGGATTTTTGGCTTAGTTATAAGATTTTAAAAATGTGATTTATTGAGAAAATTGGGATTTTGATAAATATTGAACAATTTTAATTTAGTTATGATCGATCTCTGTGACAATCCTATTATATAAATTTCGGCTTCCCGAAGTTTGTTTATTTCTTGTTTTATATTCTTTAATTTTTCCCTAATTTTAATGAGAATATTCTTAAGAGTTCAAGTAAACAAAATATTAAAACCTTGATTTATTTTTCAAATAACTTATGTTTCTCTTCATTTTCTTGGCTTCTATAAAAATTTAAATGAATAACTAATGACCTCAGTACTATATAGTGAAGAGCAGCGTATTTTTGGCCACTTGCCAGGCGTGCAACAAGTTGATGGGATGTGGATAATGATGTGTAAATAAGTGGGTCAGCTGCATGCGGTGCACGTGGCTGGTCAAGGGATAAACGTATCGAATAATACTTACCCAGCAGCGAGAGCAGACCACAGGCAAGCCAGATTATAAAGCTAACTCCAACGGAACCAGTGCGAACCAGTAAACCGGAGGGTGACACAAAAATTCCAGACCCTGTAAATGAAACAAAAGTACTATATATTAGGAGAGTTTAAGAAAGTTATGGTTGGTAATGCCTGACTAAGGTATGTATATTCAGAGCAAAAAATGATAGGCATGAAAATAAACTCTTTATCAAAGTTATAACTAAATTAATAAATAGAACAAATTATCTAGATACAAGAAAAAACATCTAAAATGTTGTATAATTTAATATATTACAATTCAAAAGTCGGAAAATTGCTATAGAAAATTCCTAAAGTTGAATAGCTCAATAATATTCCCAATAAATTCCTAGTTCTAAAAATTCAATACTGTGGTACCCTGTAAAATAATATATATGTATCAAAAATATACATATATCCCACTGTGCAATGCATACGTCACAGCTGCAATCGAAAAGAACAGCTGATTTTCCGTGGATTCATTTATGTTAATGTGGGTGGAAAATATATGGAGAGAGAGAGAGAAAGTCAGAGAGAGAGAGAGAGAGAGAGCGATAAATCGCAAAATATGTAGAACAGTGGGTGTTGCCGACGTCATCAGCGGGCGGGAGCTTCGGAAAAAGCTCCGAAATAAACCACGAGGCAAATAGCACAAATACCGGTAAATAATGGGTTTTTCTTTTCGTGCAAAGCATTTTCCCGGAGCGACAGGCGCATCCGGCGAGCGAATGAGAGCGAAAAAGGGAAAGAAAAGAGGACAGAGAAAATGTGGAGAAGGCGTGCAACAATTTGGTAACACAATTGCGTGCCACAAACTGGCACCATTGCTTAAGGTCAAAGTGCAATACCGATAATAGCCGGTATTCGTGTCATAAATGTGTAACCTAACCTAACTTTGGATATATACATACAGTCAAGGGTAATGCAATAGGGACTTCTAGGAATATTTTAAAATATTAATATTCCGTATGACAAAAATGATATAGATTATCTGAAAAGGAGACCATTAAAATGTCAGTGATTTTTTCTATACTATACATATTTAAACGTTTATGTTGATATTTTACGATATTTATAAAACCAATATATAAAAATTCACGATATTTTTATAATTAAATACTTATTTTGATGGATAAATTTTGAAAGAAGAAGTTCCTTGAAAACTCTTTTAAAGTTCTGAAAAGTATGCTACAAAAATTTCACTTTAGAGATATATTTTTTGTTTTCAAAACCCTTGCGATTTCTGCGGCTCCTTGTATGTAATACATCTAAATTAAACTTATTTAATTTAGATTACTTATTCACTTGACCGCAATTGTAATTTTCTTTGGAGTATTTCGCTGCAACCTTCATATACACGTTTATTTTACTCCATCTCAATAAAAAAAATGAAGGAAAATGCCGGGAAAATGCCATGTATATATATATATATATTCATGTATACACAATACAACACCCACGGGCAGACAGGCAACACCTACACATATATCCCGGTGCTATGAATATGTACTGCCACACGTAAATACATATATCTAAATTTATGCGAACGTATTTTTGGCCATGCGCGCCTCCAACAAAAAATAAAAAAATGCTATGAACAAAAAAATGTGCCTCAAAATTGTTAAATGTGTAAAAAAACAAGCAGCAAGAGAATGAGAAAAACGAATCAACAACAACAATGGACACAAGAATAATCCCCATTTGACATGGTCCAGGGAATATCGCATGTTTCTCTTGATTTTCAAGCAACTCAGTGACTTTTCTCCTCGCTCATGTTTTATGCATTTTCTTTTAGCTTTTCATTGTTTTGCACTTACCTATCATGGTTCCAACAATTAAAGCCACCCCACTGAAGAGGCCCAGCCTGAAAGGACACAAAGGATATGAGGTAAATTTAGTTTAACAATTTTCCAAGTTGGCATTTTATACACTGGATGCTAATCGGTTTTAAAAAAATGCAAAAGGGTGTCTCGGTTAAGATTAGAAATTGGAGATTTTTAAAAAAGAAAATAAAGCTAAATTCGGAGACCGAATATATTTTTATATAAATAAAAACATTAGAATATAATATTTATGTAGGGAACAGCGGTAGGATATACATAGGTTACTTATTACTCTTTTATTACTATTTTATATTTATTATTTAAAGACTATTTATTAATATACATATAAATAAAAAGAAAATAACGTTAATGAGCACAAAAACTTTGGACTTGTTTTCTAAAAATACATATATGTTTGCATATCGTTAGTTAGATGTCAAAATCCAATCTGTAAACTTGTTAATTTTAAGTGAGTAAAGTACAAGTTTTGATTAACACCAAGGTGTTAAAATTAAATCAGCTGTAAAGCACGTTTCGGTCTAGGTAAATAGAAAATGTTTACGAAAACACACTGAAACAAATACCGACAACTATTTAAGAGTAAACAGTATAAGATCAGGCATTAAAACAGAGAGAGGTTTTATTTTCAAAAGATAATTAATTTACCATTAAATTAAAAAAACTAAAAATAATATAAACATAAGGGTACAGTTAATATAGTACATATTTTTATAGTTAAAAGTTAGTCCAGTAATTTTTTATATTTGTCTAAATTGTGTAAATATTTAAAACCAGTAACAAAGTGAATTGATAGCATATTAATTAATAATTAATTAATACAACGAGATTCATAAGCTCTTGTTTAGTGATTTATTAAAAAAAAGAGGGTAAAAATAAAAACAAACAATTACTATTGTGGGTTTTTTTTGTTCAAGACGTACAGCGATATCTAGATCAGATTCCATTTCGCCGACTTACCTAGCAATCGATTTGGTTACCATCACTGCAACGCTAATACCAGTTGGGAATTATAACGTCACAGGGGTGGGAAAAACCTCGCAACTAGGCTCATCGATCTGCCATAAGAAATACATATCTAAAGCGTTTGGATGCTTCGATTGCTGCTCTGGGCAACGGTCATATCATCAGCAATGGAAACTGACGTTTTCATATTTATATATTTATTTATTTTTCTTTATGTTTTGCAAAACAATATTGATAAAATTTATATAAATATATATGATATCCTACCTTCTCTCGAGGTGAACAACGTGGTTCTGCGTTGAGCCATTCCTCTCCAGCGGCTTCCGCATCCTCCCGGTCCCTGATGCGTCGGTCTCTGTCGCTTCGGGCCCTTCTGTCCCAAGAGACCCATTGGCGCACATTGTCCCGTTGCTCGTTGCTTTTGTTGGCACATTATGTCCTGCAGGATCAACCAAAAAAACCAAAAAAAAAATTAGAACAGAACAACGGATTAGCATCGAATTACAATCGAAAGTATCATCAAATCACAATCAAAAAAATACATATAAATGGATAAAATCGTATCACATGGAAATGATTATTTTCGTTTTGAATATTGATCTTAAAATATCTGTTCCAAAATAATCAGACAGAGAGCACATGGGCAGAGGGATTAGCATAGAAAAAGTATTATATATTTCGAGATATGTTCGATATTTGTGGTTTCTAAATTAAAAATGCCTTGGAAAGTTGGATAAGAATATAAAGTTTATATCACACGGAGATTAAGTTATTTTAATAAACTGGAAAAAACACACACAGGTCTTGCACTAGAAAAAAAGTATATTACACGAAAAATAATTTTAAGTTTTACATAAATATTTCTTTTAATATTCAGAAAGTTATGACACAAAAACCATCACAAGGATAATGTACTTCATTTCGTTGAGTATTTGTGAATCATTCATAGAGAAAAATATGAATGAACACTCGCACACACACGCACACAAAAACACACCTCTATTATCTGTTGAATTATTATTTTTGCATGCGGTTTTTTGCAAGCAAAATAGTTGTGATATTTTATCGCGCATGGCATGGACGGATAACAAGTTGCTAAAATTATTTCGCCGCGAATTTCAGCTCTCAGCGACTACGAATATAAGTGAAGCGGCCAAAATGGGAACAGGAACGTTGGATAGAACGGCGGTGGAACGAAAAGTATCGTTGAGCTTTGGGCGACAAATAGCAAGTGTCCGCCTGCCATTTGGCGGCGGCGTCAAATAGTCCGCACGGCGAGAGCTTTCTCCCGAGCGTGGTCCGAGTGCGAGCCGAATGGCAGTCGGGTCACAGCCGATGGCAGCCGAATAGCAGCCGAGTGGCGGCCGAAGTGCTGACGAGAGGCTAACACGAAGAGAAGTTAGGATGCTGTCAATATGATAAAGACCAGTGATGGCCAAAGGCAATACTTTTGTCCAACTGTACCCAAAGATATTTCTAATTTTACGGTACAACTGTAGAATTCTTCTGCCAATTTTTCCAATTATACGAAACAAGATTTTTGTTAATACTTTTTTAGTTTTAAAATACAAAATTCTCCCTTAAGCTAGACGTTTTTAATCAAATTTTTCTAATTTTGCTATAAAAAATTATGCCTTCCTTAAGGTTCAAATTCTTCTATGAGTTCTTTTAATTTTACGGTACAAGATTTGCCTTTCCTTGAGGTTCAAGTTCTACTACAAGTTGTTCAAATTCTGCGGCAGCAGATATTCCATTGATGTACAAAGTTCTACAACATTACATTAAGAATATTACCATAACAGATTCTCCCCTGAGATACAAACTCCTGCACCTTAGCAAGAAAGAAAGGCATTAGATGTTCCTAAATAAAAACAGGTATAATACAATTTTAGTTTCCTTAAAATAAGGAAAGGCACTGCACAAGTACCTATGTATGTATCTAACGAATTTAGGTACAATATTCCAGTTTCCACCCAACACTGTCGCGTACTCTCTCTCTCACTCTGCCTTTCCTCCCCCACTGGCTCAGATTCGCCGTTAGCTTTTCGTCGCTGTCTACGTGACAGAGTTTTGTGTATGTATAAAAGTCCTCCCGTGCTTCTGACTGATTTATGAAATTTGTGCCGACTGTCGTATGTTTTCTATATTTTTTTGTTTCATTATAAGATTGTCAAGGTGAAGGCATCTGGCTCTCTTGCTGGTCGCTCTTGTTGGCGCTTTCGCTCTCAAGTTTTCCGGCTATTAATAACTTGAAATAAAAAATTTCAAATTGAATTAGTCGGCTAATTCACCCCGGCGACGTCAGAAGGTTCCAATGCATCCACACTCTCTCTCCCCATTCGCACTCTTTCTCTCCACTCTCCAATCTCTCAATTAATTGTTTGTGGCGCATTTCATTCGCCTCAATTGACCGTTGATTTTATTTTATTTTTTTTCTTCTTTATTTTTTTAACAAGTATTTGTAGGGGGACTCCAGAGCCTCTCTATTAGGTCATGTGCTGCTACTCCCATCTACATCTACGTCATTGGGTCTTTGTCTCTCTGTCGCTTCTTGTATATTCTCTCGCCCACGAGGCGTCGAAATTTCATCAGACCGCCGACTCGTTTGTACCCAGAAATGTCCATATACATACATATGTACATACATATTTATATGTGTACATCCGTGCATACAATTGTGTTTCCAAAGTTTCATAGTTGCTTTCCCTCACTATTTTCGTTTCGTTCGATTCTTCGCCTGGATTTGCCCCCAAAAAATTGTATACGTATCGAGAGATAGTGTTAAACAAGTGAGTGTCTATAAGCAAAAAACATAAATATCATACGCATTCGGGATTTGGGATACACAAGCCTTCACACACGCCGGGAATTAAATAGCAAACGGTTTTTCACTGACAAAAGCATCAAATTTAATAAGTCATTATTATTCTAACATATTAATTATATCATTGATAAAATATTACTGAACGCCTGCAGAAATGCAGAAAATTATAAATATGATAATACAATCTGTTTCGGTATTAAAAATGATTATGTTTGAGACAACATTGCGTATACGTAATATACGGATTGGACGCGTATTTACTACGTTTGCATATATCACTCTTACGTTGGTATTTTTTTTAGATAATATTTAAAAAATCCTTTGTTTTTAGATAATATTAAAAAAAATCCTAATTTCGAAGTTTCGAATCTGTAAACACTGTTTGGGAACACTCTGTGTATACGTAATATACGGATTTATAACGTATTTATCAGTCTTATGTTATTATTTTATAGATAATAATAAAAAAATCCTAGTTTTGAACATACAAATTTGTAAACACAGTTTGGGAACACTCTGCGTATACGTAATATAATATTAGGTATACGCCACTTTGAACATATATTACTCTAGCAATTAAAGCTTTATTAATTTATTATTATTTTTATTTATTGTTCAGTATAAATTACAAATCAAACTATAAATTTTAAGGTTTAAAGTGGTAGTAAAAGTTTACATATTTAGGGAAACACTGCGTATACGTTACGTATACGACCCTTGGGAAATAAATTACCCAAAAACTTTCAACTTTCTTTACTATTTTTCAATGGAAATAACACATTAAATAATAATTTACATTTTTAGAAGTATTTATCATGATTGGGGGGCAACACTGCGTATACGTGATAAAATATTTTTATTACGTATACGGCACTTTGACAAGAATATTAATTTAAAACTTTATTTAATATTTATTTTTCATAAGAAATATCAAATCAAAGAATATTTAGAAGTACAATTACAATTACATTTCCTACAAAAGTAGTAATCATTTTTGTGAACCCACTGCGTATACGTAATAAAATATTGGTTATTTGAAAATATATTACTCTATTTTTTATTCTCTATAGTAAGTAAGATATAAGCAAATGATCATAATATGCAAATTAAAAATTAGTAAGCTTATTGGTAAAACACTGCGTATACGTGATAAAGTACACGTTACGTATACGCCACTTTGAACATAAATTTAGTTAAAAAATAAGTTCTTATTAGTTATTAGGCAAAATCAAAATAAATCATAATTTCCAAGCTGAAAAATAGTTGTTAGGAAACACTGCGTATACGTAATAAAAATATACATTAAGTATCCGCCACCGTTAAATTTATTATTTAAAAAATAAAAATAAAGAAGTTTTAATAAATCAATTTTAACCTTATAAGTCATAGTTTCCGAGTAAATAATAATAATCATGTATACGGGAAACACTGCGTATACTTGATCAAATATATTTATTATGTATACGCCACCTGGATAATAGGTAATTTACTTGAATATTAAAAAAAAATAATTATTTCATGTTAAAAATTAGTTCACCAACTATTAAGTTGAATAATTATTTAACAAAATCGTTAAGCAAGAAAATTATAAGCTAGTTTCTTGAATGGGATATTTTAGGGTATTTTAAATTGCTTGGGATTTCAATATATGTATCAATATATTTCATTTTTTTAAACTGCTCCTGAGTTTCATTAACAAATAAATCCAAACTCGACTTCATGCTGATAAACACAAAAAGATCTTGTAAAAGCCAAGCAATAGTATCGGATATATAAATTTCTAGATATATTCTGTTTATATATATAGAATATCAAAGCTCAACTCTCTACCTGAAGGCTAAGAAACCTAAGAGAAATGCACTATTGTTTTGACCGGCACAGTACCGAGTGTATAAATAAATAATCTACGTCTGTACCAGGCTACATATATCCCATAAACATAAATAAAGGGGTCCTATGTTAAGCTCTTTGTCGCCTTTCTTTCTATATCTCTCTCTACCCTGTCTTTCTCCTCAATGTATATGTTTTTCTGTCATAAAAGTCACGAGGCCTGTGAACATTCCGTCTTCTGATTGCTTTTGTTTCTTATTTTATTTTGTTTAGCTTTTTAGCCAAAGGGGCGTGGCAGGCAGGTAGCAGACATCGAGTACTTTACTTAGCGATCTTAATCATTCTAAGCCAAACAAGCGATCGCATGTCCATTGCAAAAGTAAACAAATAAACAGAACAAACGATCGAAATAATTCTAGAAAACGAACACTTTATAGAGTTTGGAATTCACAGACAAACACTAGATCAAGTTACTTAATGGTATACTTAGTGATATCATTGAAGCAAATTAGATTTTAGTTGTAAGATTTTTTTTAACTAGGTGAATTTTGAAGTTCTTAATAGTTAATATTCTACAATAGATTATTGAAAAGAAAGTGCAGATCATAAAAGATAATTTGGAAACTTTGCTATCGATGGAACTTTAATATTTTTCGGGTTATATATGAACTATCATGATCATATCATTATATCATAGAATATAATTTGGAAACATTTGCTTTTAATAGGACTTTAATATTTTAAGGGTTATATATGAACTATCATGATCATATCATTATATCATAAAAGATAATCTGGAAACTTTGCTATCGATGGAACTTTAATATTTTTCGGGTTATATATGAACTATCATGATCATATAATTATATCATAAAAGATAATCTGGAAACTTTGCTATCGATGAAACTTTAATATTTTTAGTGTTATATATGAAGTATCATGATCATATCATTATATCATAAAACATAATTTGGAAACTTTGCTATCGATGAAACTTTAATATTTTAAGGGTTATATATGAACTATCATGATTATTATCTTATATATAATTAGAAAATATTATAAATATGATATATATTATTAAAATAGTTTATATAAAACTTAATCATTAAAAAACAAACACATGTAAGACACGGTTTTACTTTTTTCCCTTCGACAACTGCTTAAATATTAAGTAGCTTCTCCTTTACCTTTTCAAATATTATTAAACTATTAAGACACACATTTTCCCGCAGTGTATTCAGTATATTCCTCTTTCCCTTTCTTTCTTCTTTCTTTCTTTCCCTCCCACCCCTCCCCTTTTTACCATCCAACTCCAGTGACGCAAAGAAGTCGCTGCCTGCCAGCGCCACTAAATGAAAATGAGTAATAATCACGCGCTACATAGCACGGAATTTCAGCACCCCCTCGGACCCACTGATTTCCTCAGTGATTTTGCTCGGCAAATACTTGGCTATTTCTTGCAAATGAAATTTTTAAATATGCCAAGCTCAACGTCGAACAAGATGATAGGGGAAAAAAAGAGAGATCTCAAGAGAAAGAGAGAGAGAAAGGGGGTGCATCTTAATTGGCATTTGGCCAAATA